CTTTGACCGGTTCTTCTCAGGTCAGTGGCTATTCTTTTCCAATAAAATTTTGACAATCAATAAGTGTAAAACTTCTATATTGAATTTAAAATTAATATTTATTCTTATAATCTTAATTAGCCTCGGCTGTTGCACTAATGGACAGGCTCGTCCGGGTAAATACCACGACCTCACAGAAGACGGACATGAAGTGGAAGTATAATACTTTTACGTTTCGTCTGGTGAGTGAGATGGCCGGATCCCAATTTTCAAAAGGTGTCAACCTATCTGGAACCTTCGGGTGTAGCAGATGTTAATGGGCAGCGGTATTCACTTATCATCAGGAGAACCGTCTGCTTTGGCAATTTTTCACATTAAAAAAATATTTACGAAGTGTTGTTGACAGTAGTAGGGCCGCAACAGATTCTCGGGGATTCTTCTAGAAGACCAAGTAGAAGTGTAAAACTTCAGTGTTACGTCTGGTGAGTGCACTCTTTTTATGGCTTCAAGGCATCAACAAGACCTTAGACATTGATAAATTAATATCAGATGCTTGCTTGATAACTTTTCATAAAAGACCTAAGGTGTCTGCTGCATACATACTCTCATGCTATTGGCAGGCAAATGTCAATGTAAAAGGAGATTACTCAAAGGTGCGCACACTTTTTGGCGTCAATTGTCAATTGTCAACGTTGATTGTCCGTTAATCAGTGACTAATTGCAAATCAATGTTGTTTTCAGACGTTCTAGCAACTCAGATCATGTTAAACAACGATTGACAAGAGATTTATTGTAAATTAAAATTGATTGTGCTTTCGGAAACTGGGTGTTAGTGTTGCAAATGTCCATGGACGGCGGTTATTACTCAACATCAGGTGCTCCGCCAAGTCGTTTGCCACTTTTTCCCATAAAAAAATGTCTTTTTTTCGTACGGAATACCCATGAAAAATGATCGTTCATGAAAATCAGTTCTGCCATTGTATATTTGAAATTAAATAACTTTCGTTATAAAATTAAGCGTTTTGATTTATGAGAATTATAAGTTATTAAACATGTGAGCAGTGTCAAAAATTATTAGAAATAAGAAGAATAATAATGAAGATCAAAGTTTTGACATTGTCAATTAATATATTCAATTCAAAGGTTATCAGGCTAATCAGAGTCTATCACCCGTATACAATAATTTTGAAGGCGTTAAATGATAGAATTCAATGATTTTAACGGCTTCAAATCAAATTCAAATCAATTATGTAAACAAAATTAATGAATATATTCATTCGAACAAAGGGTAATGCCGTAAAGCTGGGTGCTTCGCAACAAACTTCATCATGTCGCTTTCTGAGGGCCAGTGTGCACGCACATCGTAAAAATTTTTTCCTAAGTGCGTAAATGAAAAAATACTTTGTAATGTTGGTAACATTTCAATATGCCGTAATTATTCGAGAATTTTTTTTTTCTTTTTCCAATTTTGAAAACATTGCCCTTACTGTAGGATAACATTATCCTGTGTTGTAGGGACGTTTTACAAACTAAATTTTATTATAGCTCGGATTTTTACGTTGGCAATCACACGGTGACAGGACTGGATAGTGACGTCAATTTAAGTTTTGTTTAAAAAGGGACAGCTATACAATAGAAAGAGTTAGTTGAAGTAAATCATTCATTTCATTCATTATCATTGGTTATACAGTGATTAGCTAATTTTTCTTGAACAAACCTTCCAGAAACCCAAGGCAGTTTAACAAGAGATTAACAGCTGACCATTTTTGACATTGTGTTATGTGATTGCTGCTTTGATTGGCCTTTCGGAAACTGGGCATAGTTATCCTACATCATTGTATCCCTCAACAGAGTAATTCCTCAACAGACTGATTTACTTATTAATGTTGAACACAAATTGATTCCTGATTTCCTTACTTATTAGTTAATATTTATTATCAAAATCTTGACTACAAGAATATTTTATAATTGTATCTTGTCACCTGTCACAGTATCGACATAACATTATCGAGATTGTACATTAAAAGTCAATGGCAAAGTTTTAAAAGAAAATTATAAAGTTGCAAATGGGTTTCTTAATCTCTTCACAAATATACCTTGTGAAACTACTAGACATTTGGAACACTGTCCCACAGAGGCAGTGACATATCTGGATAAATATGTTAATATTTCTATTCCAGATATTAAATTTTGTCACATAGGCCCGAATGATATCAATAAAACATTTAAAATTTTAAATACAAAGAAAACAGAAGACTTATGGGGCTTATCAATATGGGCAATTGATCTTATAATCTATGACATTGCTTGCACAATAGCCCAAATATTTAATACATGTTTAGATAGTAGCAAATTCCCACAGTTAATGAAGTAAAGTTGTGTCAGTATATAAATCGGGTTCGAGAGATAATGCCTCTAATTACCGTCTCATCTCTATGTTGCCGGCCTTAAGCAAAGTGTTTGAGAAAATAATGCTGGATCAAATGATAGTTCATTTTAACAAATATAAAATTTTAAACCAGCACCGATTTGTATTTACTAAAGGTAGATCTACAGGGACTAATGCAGGGATAGAATTAGTTTCACATATCCTGCAGTCCTGGGAAAGCTTTCATTGCACCATTGGTGTGTTCTGTGACTGTGTAGATCATATAATTCTAATCAGGAAATTGAAATATTATGGTATTCGCAATTGTGCCATTGACTTTGTTTCCTCGTATCTTACTGGTAGGGAACAAAAAGTAATCATAAATGGTATATAGTCAACGGGGTCAAAAGTACAAATGGGCGTTCCTCAAGGATCGATCCTGGGCCCTTTTCTGTTTTTAGTTTTTATAAATGATTTGCAATATATAGTGGAAAAAAGGTCTCAAATTGTTTTATTTGCGGATGACACTTCACTATTGTTTAAAGTTAAAAGGAAAGATGATGCACAAAAACAACCAAATGAAAAACTAGATGTTGTGTCTAGCTGGTTTGCTACCAATAACTTACTTTTGAACTCCAATAAAACAAAATGTATTAGATTTACTCAAAGTTGTGTCAACAATCAGGAATCTCTATTGATGAGAAAATCCTACCCCTTGAGGATTCAACAGCATTTCTTGGAATAAGCGTTGATTCCAAGTTGCAATGGGGATTACATGTAGATAAGTTAGCTAATAAATTAAGCGCTGCCGTCTTTGCCATACGCAAAATCAGCTAACTAACGAGAAAACAGCTAAATTAGTTTATTATGCTTATTTTCACAGCATAATGTCCTATGGTGTCTTACTTTGGGGTTCCGCATCCGGTTTAGACACAATATTTGTATTACAAAAGCAATTACAAAAGTCTATGGCTTGGGTCCACGTGAGTCACTACGGCATATATTTAAGCAAATAAACGTTTTAACGCTCCCGTCGCTTTACATACTTGAGAACATTATGTATGTACGTAATAATATCCACCTATTTACGAAAAAACAATCCACATCGCGTCGGGGCCGTGGTGACACTCTGGAAGTACCGAGGTTTACATTGGCTAAAACCAAAAAGTAGTTTCTTGGTAGATGCATCAACTTTTATAATAAAATAGGTGACATCCACAAACAACTAAGTATAAACAATTTTAAACAATTTGTAAAAGCTACCTTAATGGAAGGGCCTACTATAATGTCCAAGAATACATTGAGGACAAGGATGTGTAGAAATGACTCTTGCTCTGCACTTGCAAGACCCCTGGCTGCTGCTGATTTTATACCTAAATAAGTTTGTATAATTGCAACAAAAAAAACAATAATAAAAAGAACAAGACCGCAGAGTTTCTTGCATATTTTTCTCTGTGCAGGTCTAGTTTAGTGAACCGGTGGTAGATTTTTTGTTGACTGAACGTCAAGTATAAGAGAATCTAATTTGAATTAAGGTTATATTGAATATATATTGAAATAATATATAAATACTTTGACTTTGATTAAACAAAAGGATATTATTAAATTTACTCTAACTGGATACATGCATAACTGTTGTTGCCAGAAGAATTCAGTTATTTGAAAGTTGTTATGATATGAGTCACATTTTATAGAGAAACCGTATTTAAATTTTTTTTTTACATATTTGCACTGAATAAAAGAGCGATAATTTTAGAATAAGCCCATAAGTCACAATATAAATCTAATAATAAACCTTAACTTAAAGTAACCTTTAGTAAATTACACAGTTATGAAACCTTGAAACTTGCTTCATTTATTTCATGAAAAGAAAAAACTTTACAGGATTTCGCCAATGATGTACCATGCGATTTTTTCGATAAGTTCGTTGATCGCCCTCTGAAATTTAAAAAAAAGATATAACAGGATATAACTAATAACAGGAGCAAAATGTACTTTATAACAATATAACCTCGCACATCTATAGTCTCAGATGTATAAACATACAATTATACATGTGTTATTTGCAGACTGTTTTAGAAACATAAAAGCGAAGTAGTTACCGGGTGCTTGCGTTCAAGTGATGCATTAATTAATTTCTTTATAGTAACTGGGGTAGCGTATAATGTGGCTTTAATATCTCTTTCATACCATACTAAACTCTCTCATGAGCGTAAGCTATCAAATCAAATCAAATGATTTATTCATGAAAGTAAGAAATATATATTTCATCTATCGATGGTCATTTTTTAAATATGCCACTGTTCCGTAATGAGGTTCCTCTAACGGAAAAGAAACAGGCAAAAGAAACTCCGTAGGGTAAAAAAATTACAAAAAAGAGGATCTATTTTGTCATTTTTTTTCTCAAAAAATTACATTGTAATACAGTACATATTTTTTTTAGAAACAGCTTAGAATCGATCATCTCATTCCCAGGAGTTGTCCAAATAGCATTCACGATAGATTTTTTGAGTACAATGAAAAATTTATCACAACCTGTAACTAAGTAACGCATTTTCTTTTCATCTAAGACGTGTCTGTGCCTGCTGCCAAATAACTATATAAAATATAATTAACCCAGCTTATTCATAGTATTACACCGAAAAATTAATTAGAAACTTTTACAAACCGCGTTCTCCTTAAGAGTGTTGGGTACTGTGTTGCCCAAGAAGTCATTTACTTCCGCAGATATGTCACGATCAAAAAGACTGAGCTCTACGTCAGACTGAAAGTCAAAAGTTTAAATTTATATAAGAGATCTCAACATATGAAAATTGAAATTTTCACGAACCAATGATGCTTTTTTCCTAAAGTTTAGTTTTAATCAACGAAAATAATCATAGGTTAAATGTAAATAACGATATTGATCATGGTTCATATGTTTAAACCATTATTATGAATCAATTTCAAACAAAAAGAGAAATATTGAAAGTAAATGTGGAAAAGAAAAATTTTAATGCAATATTAACAATATCTATAAATTAAAATAACCTCATACATGATTAAGAATAAATACATAAAAAAACCGTTTACCTCAATTCCTCCAAGGCTGAATGATAGGCTGAGGCTGCGAATAGAGATTCCAGAGATGACACCAACACTGGCTCTAACGTCACCGACTAAACGGGGTTGTATAACTGCAACGCTGAAGAAAAAGAACACGCATTATTTTAATACACATGATAACGAACTAAATAACGCTTTTTACATCTAAACACATACACTTACACACTTTATACAGCGTGTCTTTACCACCGCGACAATAAATAAACACACGTCTAACGCTACTTGCCAATAATCATAAAAAAATATTAACGTTTAAAAAAATCCATAATTAAAAAAATATATTTTTCAAACAAACTAATTAAGTAAAAAAGAAACAAAATTTGTAATATGACTGATTCATACATTCAGAGACTTTTTCATTCGTTGTTTTCTAATTACTTGCTTTGGTGAAATTATTTCAGAAACGGTGGCTCTTAAGAAAAAACCTATTTAGACATTTTTTTACATAACTAGCTGACTCGGCACACGTTATACTGCCTACATATTACTGAATTTGAACACATATAAAGAGAATATTCGGAACGCACGCAAGTGTTTGACAGTTTACACAGACATAGTTGACAGGTACAGTTTGTATGGGAAAATAAAATTGTTGCTATTTCGATTTTCCATGCAATTTTTCCATTATTTCTCATCGTTTAAACCTTCCCTGGACTGCCACAAACATTTCAAAGCCAAATCGGTCCAGCCGTTCTCGAGTTTTAGCGACACTAACAAACAGCAATCCATTTTTATATATATAAGAATTATCCGATGTACAATTTCTGCCTAAACCAATTTTATGATAAAATTTACCATTTTGCTGAAAATAACGAAGACACCGCATTTGTGACGTTTGAGAATACATTTTTTTCCAGGTACCGAAATCGGTCAGGATTTATTAGATTTCATTTATGAGAGTGTTTTAACAAATCCGACCAATTTTGAGCTGGGTTCGTATTTTTGTACCTTCGATCCTATTTTTGGTTTAATTTGACTGAACTATAAAGTAAAATAGGTATTAGTTTCCTTCAGTTTCCGGGTGTTTTTCGACGTAAAAAAAATGTAATTAGGTACAGAAAAATCATTAATAAAATACTCACCAAGCAGAATTTGGCGGTCGCTTATAGTTTTCGAGAAAAAAAATATATTCAAAACGTAATTTTTACTAAGAAAGTTCACCATTTTACAAATTTGACTTCAATAACTGAATACACAGTACCGCCAACATGACAAATATAGGAAGTTGGTGAAGATTAATTTTCTTTTAATTTAAAGAGTGACAGATCCGACACAGAGCGATCCGATAGGATAGGGCAGGTTAGAAGGTTAAGGCGGAAGCGCATCTCCCGCCTTAGCCTTCGTGGTTATTTTTTTTATAACCACCCAGAAAACTTTAGTGTAAAAGTACTTTTCGTATTTTTAAAGGCTCTTTATTAAAAAAAATCTTTACCGTAAAATAAAGTAAAGTAACAGTAAGTATATGCATCACACTACTAAGGCAACCCCGACGGAGGGAGAGGTAACGTGCTAAATGGAAAGAATTGAATCCGTCAGCTAGTTTTAGAGTTTTGAGTACAGAAACATACGGAAGAAAAAAAAGTTATATGTAAAGGTTAGTAAACAAAATCATACCTGCCACTGGCTTTGACTTCAAACTCACTTCCGAAGGTCGAAATCGCAAAACTGGATGAACCTTAAATGAGTCGAAAATTAAATAAATAACGTCATTATGAATTCGCTTCAAGATTTATTGATTACCCTGTATGTATATTACAAACTACATTAGAAACTGAGGAATGCAATTAAAAAAAATATACCTAAATTTGCATGATATAATGATATAGCTATATATATATTTTAAATCATTTTATCAGTTGTATTGAAAAATCATTAGATAAACCCTTTAGGATAGCAGAAAACGGTGGTGAATGCGATGTTCTTGGAGATTATTATAATACAATCGTATAACGTCGTTGGTAGGGACACGATATGGTTTTACAAATTTTCATGGGTGGCGGATCACCTTACTTCAGGAGAACTGCCAGTTCACTTGTCACCCTCTGACGTAAAAAAAATAAAAAGCTAATAAGACTGTTTATTGTTAAGGGGATAAAATTATTTTTCACACTTTTTATACGCACCAACTCTGAGACCAATTCTGGGCAGGGATATGTCGAAGGTCAGTCTTGTTGAGAGGATGGAGAAATTGATTCTGTTGATAGCGATGTTGCTAAGGCCATAAAACTTAAAGTCCTTGACGCTACCTTCGGCACTGAAGATCCTAATAAAAAATCATAAGCATTGATGTTATTTCGCGGTTAATCTGGTACAGCGTATTTACTAAAACAAAAATGGTAGTAAAAGAGAGAGCATGAGTGAGGCAAAAACTAAAGACATAATTGTTTTACGGAAGTGCTAAAAACGAAAACATGTAAGATATTAGATTTCGTAGGTCTGTTGTGATAGGAATTCCGTATCTCTTTTCCGTATCACCATTTCTATGTATTTACCAATTTTAGTGAAATGTGTTTTGAAACCAATTGATTTTATTTTATTAATAATAGAGTATTTGGAATTCATGTCTAAACTAGACAACAAGTGAGAAAACACACAAATCTTAAATAAATTTCACGTAAATAAAGTGTTATTTAGCTTATCAAAACTTACTCAGGTTCGGAAAGAGCGAATGAGAAGTCACTTTCATCTATAATAACGGGGTCAAGACCAGCTTCCACTATTGAATCGGACACATCTTTGATCACGCCAACAATTATGTCCGTGACAAGCCTCTGCTGTCTGAGCTCTGTTACGGTCAATATTTTAATTGCATGAGATAAGTTAACATTTGAGTAGGATGTCACATGGTATGGATATTTACTGAGGACCCAATAATACAAGCCTTGGGTTTAGTTTCACCAAACTGTGTACTGTGTGCATGTACATGCGTACACCAAACGGTGCATCAGTCTCCCACAATATGAAAATTAATTTGTACATCCACCTTTGATACATACAGATAATACTATTGTGATACATACTGTGGTGAGAAAATAAAGAATTATGATTATTTAACTGTGGTAGGGCCACGCAAAATTTCACTGTTATACGAATCGGCAGGTTATTCCGGGAAAGTACTATGACCTCACAGAAGACAGGCGTAAAGTAGAAGTATAAAATATGTATACTTCTGCCTTTCGTCTGGTGAGTGAAGTAGCTGGGGCTCACTGTAGAAAAAGATCGCAACGGTTGGCTACAGGTGTTGCAAATGTCCTGTAATAACCTTACATCAGGTGAACCGATAAAAGTCGTCAATTGTTAAATGAAAAGCATAATAAAACTAGAACCAACTAAAGTAGACCTCAACCTGTTACATGCGGAATTCCACAAGAGTCAATTAAGGGTTCACGTCTATTCCTGATTTAAGTGAATAATATACATGTGATTGATCTTAAGAGAGGATATATGAGAGATAGATATAGCCCTGTATGCCGACGATACTAAGCTTTTTTATGGTAGGGGCTACCATCACTACTAGCTGAGCTCGAACTGACCTAAATAAACCACATAATTGGCTACAATACAATTCCCACATATGTCCTTTTTATTATATACGGTACATATTATGTACGATATTGTAATTGTATTTGTAAAGATAATAAACAAATAATAGTTGACGTAATTAGAAAACACACATTTATATAAACCTAGCAAAGGTTGTAGGCACAGCTAGTTACAAAGATAATTAGCTATTTACATGTGTAAATATAATTATCGAACTTAAGTTCTTGCTTTTAATTTAAAAATAAAATACGTATCGTATAGTGAACATGTAAAGTAGCTGAAATTACCCAATCTACAAAAAAAATACTTTCTCCCATGTATAATTTTTCAGGAAGAATGACATATACATAATATAAATAAGAATGACTCAGGAAGAATTACATATAGTCTCGTGTTTTCAAGAGGTGTGATGTTGAACAAATCATGACAAGGCAATAGTTTTTGATATTCAAATGTCAATAGCAAAGCAATGGAAAATAATATTTATAAATAGCGAATTCATCTATTCTCTCAACTGAGTGAGATTAAAAATAATATAAGGGGTTGATTTACCGTCTTCTGACAGGGCTGGTAATGCGTTGGCAGAGGCCAACATTAACAATACGGAAATAGCAATGGTCCTCATTATGGTGCCTGAAAAAAGATCAAAAACACTATATGATTTGTATTATAATAATTTATAATACAAATCATATAGTGTTTTATAATATCAATATTATAATGGTATGACTACAGTATTCTTTGTTATGTATACATATATAGAACATAAATAAAATAAAAGATCGTTAATAAGCAATCACTTATGAAAAAAATCACTAATAACCGTAAAAAAAATTTGCTAGTGGCAAATTAGAACAAGCCTTACCTCTTCTTTTATCAACAAATAGCTTAGGCAATCTGAATTCAAGTATTTATACAGCTGCAGAATATATTTGATTTATCGGCTATGAAATTAATCGCCTAAAATGTGATTTTCTATCTTTATAATCCCCATGAGCGGCACAAACTACCGATATGACGTATTTATTTAAATACTTTCATGACGTTGCAGAATATTTCTTGACTTCCTTTACTTCTATTACTTTGAAAGATATTAAACTAAATAATTAGAGCCTTTACTTCATTACTATATTTCTTGAGGTGAATGTGATTGTTGAATTATTTTATAAACATGCCGATAATGTAACCATACAAAATGTAAGTTGTTTCTTCACATCTTTCTTTTTTTTTAATTATTAAGAGATGTGAAGCTAAAACTGCAGGCATGTAAATTACAAAGTTCTATCTAGCAAGATTCACACAGATACGCAAATATCTCATCAGTTCGGACTAGTTAAAACTTCTGTTACTAAGGCCAATGTAGTAAATTAGGAAAAACGGAATGAGATACAAAATACTTTCCACAAGCCACCGCGATAAACAGGTGACAACACCTGTGCAAGAAAATACAATTTATCTTTTGCTACCTCTACTGGCAATCGGGTAATAATATAGGTAACGTTTTTTGTAATTAGTTTCATTATTGATAATATTTACTAACAAAGTAAGCGGCGTCACAGGAGACCGGTATGAAATGGAGGTATTAAACTTTCACGTGTGTCCTGCTAAGGTAGCCAATATTAAATAGATTGGCGACGCATCTACAATCTATCAGGTGTTATTATATCCATGGGCGGCGGAAATATATATCTAGTCTCTTAACTTCAGGTGAACCGTCTGTTTTCCTGCTAACTTTTAACATAAAAAAGGAGTTTGTTTTTGGTAATTAATTTTTCTTTATCTTAAATATGCTTGTTCAAATCTACCAAATCCTGAAAAAAAATATCGTACCGATCCGTACAACATTTGTAAAAATTCAAGAAACAAGTACATTTTTATTAAAAGAAACAAAACCGACTTTAAATATCTCACTCATTATATACTTTCCAATTTATTTTGAGGAGTAACTTGATGTAGATACATCGGATACATCGGATACATTCCTTGCCTTGACTTCGGATCTCCGAAAAGGAACCACATGGAGGCGATAAACCAAACCCAAAGCAAAAACAATTTTTAAAATCGGCTCAAAAAATGTGTTCTGAAGTAGAAAACATAAAAAAACAGAACCGAATTGTGAACCTCCTCCTTTTTAGAGTTGGTTGAAAATTTATCAAATTTCACTTTAACCACTATACCTTCAATTTATTTTAAACTAGCATATCCCCAGGACTTTTGTCAACATCTAGTAACAAACATTCGATATTTAAAACGAACGAAACATACGATATTTTAAACTAGCGTATCCCCAGGACTTTTGTCAACATCTAGTAACAAACATACGATATTTAAAATGAACGAAACATAAGCTATTTTAAACTAGCGTATCCCCAGGACTTTTGTCAACATCTAGCAACAAACATACGATATATTACTAGGTCTGGGATATTTCATTACATTTGTTTTGATCGTTACATGTACATTTGTAATGAAATATCCCAGACCTAGTCGAGTCATAAGTTCTGCCATATGTTTATTGTAAAGTAATTGAAACATTTTTTTTTATTATAACTATTTATTTACCGAAAGAAACTTACCAAGACAAATTCTTATGCTATGTAAGCTTATTCAAAATTATCACCACAATTTTCAATACAAACCTTCAACCTGCGCAGTCAGTCGTGTATAGCAGCATGAACGAGATTTATATCAATATCGGCGGCTGCATTGATCAAGGATGCCTGGAGTCACTACACATCGGAATGATGGTTTTTTTTTTGTGAAAAGTTGCCAAACGAGCAGACGGTTCACCTGATGTTTAGTGAATACCGCCCATTCGTGCAACAGCCGAGGCTGCTACGTGGCTCTACCACCGTGAAACGTTCAAACCGTAAACGTTCAAACAGGGTTTTTTCTTCGAGGATTGCCATATTTTATAATCCAGTTTTAAACAGCATTCTTAAAAGAAATTATCGTAGTTTCCATGACATTAATCGTTTGTACTAGCAATTTATAGATTTTAGATGTCGCTGCACACTCGTAATTAATGAATAAATAAACGTACGATCATTAACTAAGATTTGCAATTGTCCGCAAACTCCATACGCTTTGCATCGGCAATTATGTGAATCAAGTGCAGATCCTGTGCATAATCCTTAAAAATCTTCCATTCTTTGTGACATTCCTTTGGTAAGTGATCTTAATGTTAAATAAAAGGTTTATGAAATGAAAATTTTTTCAGTAGCGTTGCGCGATTTTTGGATAGAGAAAAATTTCAAAGCTGCTCACAAACGTGCCATCTACCAGGTGTTGGCATCAATGTACTTCACAAGAACCTAAACGAGACACTTAATATTTTCGTCGAGAGAGTTATAACACAATTTGATAGATGGCGCTTCAGTCGGCTCAGGCTTTGCTTACGTCGTTGCCCATTTTGACTTGGTATACGAAAAGAAGTAAGCTAGCCAAAGCTAATTATATAAGCAAAGCTAATTAATAAATAAATAATCACTTAAAAGTAAACAAAATAGTCATAAAAAGTAAACATAATTATGAAGCTTTTGTTTCGCTACCCACTTTTAACTCTCCATTAACCTAAAAAAATTCGAAACCGCACAAATTTTGACAAATCCTCAAGCGCAATTTTATATAACATTCGCATAGCCGCATATTCACACACAAGAGAAAAAAATCCAAAAATAGGTTGATCTGATGTGATAATTTTGAATATGTATTTATGAACAAGAGACAATTACATTAACATTGTGCTTTATGAATAAATTATTGAAATTTGTTTTAGTGTACATTATTTATCACAAGTGTTGATATGATCAGAAATTTATCCTAACCATAGGGATAAAAAATAAATATACTACAACAACTGTAGTATTTAACAACGGTGGTAGGGCCACGCAACAGTGTTCGCTGTTGCATGAATGGGCAGGTCCGTCCGGGTTAGTACCACGACCTCACAGAAGACCGGCGTAAAGTAGAAGTGTTGCACTTCTGCGTTTCGTCTGGTGAGTGAGATAGCCGGGGCCCACATTATTAAGAGGTTGCAACGCATCTGCAACCCTACGAGTGTTGCAAATGTCCATGGGCACAGGGTTATCACTTAACATCAGGTGAACCGCCAGCTCGTTTGCCACTTGCTCACATTAAAAAAAACTTAATTTTACAGTACGCAGCACCCACAGAGATAATTCATATACTTTTCCCCTTAACTATTGACTTCTGTAAAAAGCCAAATTCCTTACTCATTTTATAAATATACTGAAAAGCAAAAATTACTAAGATCAAGCTTGTGGCTTCGACAACTTTTTTTAAATGAAAACGATATTGTACTGCGCCCGGTAGTAACTGATTTCAAGGATTTTGGAAAATCTCCGCGAAAAGGATAAAAGGTAACAAGGGAATAGGAATAAAGGACTGGAGAAGTCACCATTTATCGTTACTCCTTATTTTGAGAACACTCGCCTGTCTGCTACAGCCTGTATCGAAAAAACTTGGTGTTGACACTTCCCGCGATAGCACTTGAGCCCATATTAATCGAATATGTTTAATTAAAATCCTGTGCCTGGACACTGAGCTATAGCAACCTCCTCTGAATTAAATTATTGAGACCACAAGGCGAGGCTCTGTGACGTAGTCGGAATGTGGTTAACATGGGGGACAGACAAAATTTAGTAACTTACTCCGTGCTACACAGAATAATGTTAATTCTATAGGACTGGTTATAAAAGAAACAAAATTATACTTCCCAAACACTCTCAGAGTTTATTACTGCATTAATTATTCAATAGGTTTTTTTTAATGTGAAAACTTGCCAAGCGAGAAGATGGTTTACCTGATATTAACCTGATATTAAGTGAATACCGCCGCCCATGGACATCTGCTACACCCGAGGGTTGCAGATGCGTTGACAACCTTTTGCAAATTGGACTCCGGCCACCTCACTCACCAGAAGAAACGCGAAAGTATTATACTTCCACTTCACGCCGGTCTTCTGTGAGGTCGTGGTACTTACCCGGACGAGCCTGCCCATCCGTGCAACAGCCGAGGCTGCTGCATGGCCTTACCACCGCTGAGGTATGACAAACAAGGAAAAAGTTTGATAATTTCACTTGCACTATATTCTAAATTAACCAATTTAAAGAAAGAGCTTTCGGTACTTAAATTATAATGATATTGACTAAATTACTCGCATATATTACCTAGAGTTAGATATATGTAACCTGTATAATGTGTTTAGTACGGCTACTTATAAGTATATCCAGAGTTGCCTCAATATTTTATTTTAGTATAATCCAATCATAAGTACCATAAAAAAAACTAAGCAAAGACGAAATAAATCAACAACCGGCTCTCGAAACGCCATCTATCCGTGGAAAGTACGAACCTACTAGATTTATAGACTCTGTATAGATTTCTTTACGTAGATTTTGACCCAGATGTTGCCAAGGATACCAATTAGGCGTTAATCGAAGCCATGATACATAAATGTAAGAAGCTTTAAAAAAAAAGTGTTACACAATTACAAACGCTTCTTTATGTCAAAATGATTTGTTAGGTTAGTTAAATTTTTATACATCAAGAAGACCTGAGAAGCTTCTCAGGTCTTCTTGATCCAGCTGGATGACGTCACCAAGGCAAGGAACCCATCAGTTTGAGATAAATAAATATTGAACATAAGTTACAGTATTTTATGACATTAAACTTTAATCCTAGATAGTATTAACAAGGGATATCAAGAAATTTAAGAAGTATGAAAAGTTTTTTAATCGATTTGTTAATCGATAGAAATTGCAGAAAAAAATATATAATTATCTGTAATATTTTTAAATAGTGTATTTGTCAGTAAAATGCTTTGGTGCTAATTTCAAACCTTTGCTTTAATTATTTGAAATTATTTATGTAAAATGTGTTCGTGATTTAAATGTTCTTAAAATTCTCTATCACTTTATCCAGCAACAAAGCTAAAAATAAATATTTATTCTTAAATATCTGCAATGATTTTTATATACAACTTAATAGGGTATTTACTTCAATTATATTTTATGTTTCGTGTTTGTGCATAATATCATTAATTTTCTTAGAGTAAAGTTAAAAAAATTATCATCTCCACACATTTTACTTAACTATTTTAAAGGTTTTTAAAATAGTTAATTTCTTCTATCCAATAACATAATTTATTAATGTATAACTGCCCGTCGTATTGTAAATAATATTTTTTTGTTAAATAAGGATAACCAAAATGGAAAAACCGGCCAAGTGCGAGTCGGACTTGCGTACGAAGGGTCCCGTGCCATTATTTAAAAAAAACGGTAAATTAATCATGTCTATTGTAAGCCCTAATTTAATAATTTTTCTTATGTTTTTTAGTATTTTTTGTTATAGCGGCAACAGAAATACATCATCTGTGAAAATTTTATGAGATACTGCCTAGGGACCGGCGGACAGACCGACAGCGGACTCTTAGTATTAGATTCACGTTTTACCCTTTTTGTAAGGAACCCAAAAAAAAAAACCTATCCGATTGTTTGCGTTCTTTTGTACTTTAAGTTGATGATACCGCACTACTGGCCATGATCGCACTGTATACGTTGTTTTCATCAGCGTTCTTGGAAAATTTAAGCATCAGGGAGATCAGATGATTCACAGGCGTGATTTTGTGATGGCTTCCTTCACCACTATTGCACCATATTGTGACCATCAAACTAATATGTAGCCGGGCTTTGGCAGACTTTTTCACTGTAATATAGCCCTATTGCAACAGCTTTGCTCTTGCACGAATAGGCATCTGTGCCCAGGTAAGTATCACGGCCTCAACATGAAGTGGAATGTTGCAGGGTGATGGGGATGCTGCATATGTCAAAGGGCGGCGATTATCACTGCACAGCAAGTAAATGCAACTGATGTACCTTCGTCAAGACAACAAAGATATCTTTAAGAATTAATTCTGACACTAACAAACCGAGCTATTACGATTAGCTGATGGGTTTCAATTCTATGATGAAATGCAATACTCTATACTGTGATTTCCATTCTTCATCTTGTTAACTATTCCCAATGCGCCAAACTCAACTCGACCACTAGTAAAATGTAAGTATGCCCAAATTTTAAAAAATTGTGATTATTGCATATGACATTCAAGCATTTTTACGAATTTTAATAAAACCATAGTGTTCAGTTATATCATTTTATTTGGTCATTTTCAATATTCACAACATTAAAAGGATGCAGTAGTAAGTTTTGTCAACTTTTATTTCGATATAAAATATAATGATCAAAACAAATAATCAAAATATTTTCCATGCTAGATGATCGACCATGTTCAATATAAGGTGTCCTTAAGTTTCAGTTTTCAAGTCTACCATTGACAATTAATTCAATGGCCCATCCAAGGATATTGTCGATGAGAGCCTGAAATTAAACAATATCTGGTGAATTTTACATTCCCGTAAAAATTCAATATTTTCTACATATCATACATTAAGTGCTATTCAGCGGTCTCAAAAATCTTGGAGATACCTATTAACGGAACTATCATCACTACATAGTATAAAACAAAGTCATCCCCCTGTCTGTCTGTCCCTATGTATGCTTAGATCTTTAAAACTACGCAACGGATCTTGATGATTTACTAGATAGAGTGATTCACAAGAAAGGTTTATATGTATAAAACATTGCACCCGTGCGAAGCCGAGACGGGTCGCTAATTACATACAATACATGAACAACTGGTGGAAACGTACGTCTGTGGAAAGGTTACTTACTTGATGCATCCTAAGGTTTTCTGGAAGAGCTCTTAGCCAGATGTTGACTAAGCTAGAAAGATCGAGGTTCCCAATTTTGAGCGTAACAGCGGACTGTAACAAATGTTAATACTTGTAATTTTTTTGTAAAAAAATCATAAAATCAAATCATATTGCTTTCATATGTGTAACAAGGTGTTACAGTAATGAACATTTGTACAATAGTAATCCTGTTATGGCGCAGAAATAACGTTACTTATGAATTGACAATGTTGCATGTATCAAACTCTCTCTGAATATTCTACCTTAGACAATCATTTATTATCATTTTTAACTTTTTTATTTTATCTTCATCATTTCAGCTCATGTTTTATCCACTGTTCCACCTGGAACCATTAACTACGAATTAAGGACATTTTTTCGTTTTTTTATTTAGGAATCTTATAAATTGGATCTGTATCTCTGAAGTTGCATATGCTATAGCAATTTTGCATTACTTTCAACTACACAGGTCTCCCAATCTGTTTACATGATTGCGTAGTTAGTATAACATAAATTTAAGTTATCGTAATATAATATTAATATTCTTGTAAATTCTATAAAAAACTTTCTTGGGCTGATATAGACTCGAACACATTATTACCTCAATAGTCCTTAGACGGGCATTAGCCTCAAGAACACTGACTGTGTTTTGACCAGAGTGTATTCTGACTCTACCAGATATGCCCAATCCATTAATAGAGAACCTGAAATGTAATATACAGTTTCAGCATCCACATTATTCTTGAAATCAAAAGAAGTCAGTTAAAATGACAGTGAAGTAAATACCATCCCCTCAGAATTCCACTGAGTTCATTTCCGAGCAAATTCACTTCAGCGCTGGCGTCACCTGTGAGTGAAATAGATAATTTTGTTATAACTATGCAGCAATAATGATATTAAGTAAACCGTGCTAAATAATTATTTTGCACGTAATCATTTGCATATTGAAGTGTATGTACCAATGTTAACCAAAACCTGAGGAAGAACAATGTCGAAAGACAATATATCGCCATACGGGGATTTGTCCAGTTTTTGTACCACGATGTTGGAGAGACCGGAGAATCGGAAATTCTCTATACGGGCAGCGGCTTTGAGGATACTGGCAAAGACAGGTTAAACTTTAGTAACAGTAAAAAAAGTGAAATATTAGTCATTTCGAGCCCATTAGCCCATCGAGCATAATTAAGGGAACTTACTCTTCACTAATTAAAACATATTCCACTTCACCGCTTGGAACTTCAAAGGGGTCTAAGCCTTCGTCTTTGATACGTTGAATAAGATTAGCAACAACATCAAGAACGATAGCGATGGGATCCCTTCGCTGCTCCTGGAAATTTTCTCCCAAATCTGGAAATTATTTATGTATCGTTTTAATCAATTATTTTCAAGCCCTCAAAATAAACTAATAAATAGAATGTAATTTTGACCGTAATTACCTGAAGATGGGAAGGGAGTGGCGCTGGCCACCAGCATCAATAAAGTGAATGCGATAGTTTTCATATTGGCGAACCTGAACCAATTTAACGACATTTAATATTAATTCTCATCAGGTGCTTGAAATTTACTTCTTGAAATGTATGAACTTTAAATAAATCAATGGATTTTTAAATGTAAATAAACATTAATTTTCTCTCGGAAATTTTATGTATCACATGTTAATTAAAACAATTTAAAAGGTAATTTGACTTACCTACTTATGTGTGAAGATTGGCTAATTGCCAAAATGTACTGGTATATATACTCCCGCTTTAATATTTGATAACTAAGTAGATTGTATCAAGTTAGTCTATCTTTTTAAACCCATGTTATCAAACATTTTAATTTTATAGAAATTTATAGATAACGTATTTATTTTGTACATTGCATGCAATAGTTATTTAAAACTCAGTAAAAAATATATTTAAAAACTATGTAATTTTCCTTCGAAAGTGCGATGATTCTATATTTGATAAATATAGAATATTTGAATAAAATATGTTTCATAGTTCATAAATAAAATTTGACTAAACAGCAAGCCTTACATATTCGCATATGATGTGACATTTCACATTGATAATAAGGAACATTTATTGAACGATGTAGCCGGGGCCCACTTTATTAAAAGGTGGCAATACATCTACCACCCTACGATTGTACTAAATATTCTTGTTGTGTTCTGTAATGTTCATATATTAAGATGTTTGGCACCAATTTGGCACAAACTATGTTAGCTTACTTTACAATGGTTAACGTTGCGGATACCATCGTTGACCTAAAATGCGAAAAGTTTGAAAAAATTCCCATAGGCAAATGCCCATTTGCTTTTTTCTGTTCTCTTATATCTTTAGCTTTAGGAATTTCTTTATTATTTATATATTATATAATAAGTATTTCAGTATAGCAAAATCTTTTAAAATCATATGACGGGAAACAAAGAGAATGCATTTTATCCAGTTGCAGTCCATCAAGTGTCGGTGGTATGGCCACGCAACAATCTACGGCTACGCTGTTTCACAAATGGCCTGCCCATTCATCCACCCAGACCGGCGTGAAATGGTAGTGTTTCACTTCTGCGTTTCGTCTGGTGAATAAGGTGGCCAAAGGTCACTTAATTAAAAGGACAACACATCTACAACGGTGTTGCAAATGTCTATAAGCAGCGGTTGTCACATAAGATGAGATGAACCACAAGCTCGTTTACCACCTTATTTATTTATTTAGTCTTTAATGTATTTCCATCCATTCGGAATACAATAGGCGGGCTTAATTCTTTTCGGCATTCTGTGCCAGTCGGATGAAGATTGTTTTCTTAGATAAAGAAAGTTTTCAGATAAACATCTAGTTAAAACTGTTTGTTCAAGTTTGTGGACGTAATAAATATTCGTGGTTTATTGTAAATGTTAAATAATCGCACGGGTATCTCACTGGGTATCGGCTCAAAGAGTCGATCTAATACAAGCATTTGGCATAAGATCGCCTGAATTTATTTTTTTAGTAGATTATAATGTTCTCAAACGATGACAACAGTTATAGTGACTTAAAATGTTATTTTAGTAGAATAAATATAAAAACACGTTATGTACTCTATTATCCATACGGTATAAAAGAGATATAATTGTTTCTGCTCTCTCGCTTAGAACGTTTTTGAACTTGCAATTTTTTTTATATCGACCACAATAGTTATAAAAATAATAGTGTGACGTAAAATAAAACAAGAATCAGTTATAATTATTATATTATAATGTAATTATTATTCACTATTTACTGCTAGATAATCAATATTTGTTATGTGAAGACAGAGTTGTGTGAATTCAACGAAAAGATTGGCAGTTTATAAGAACGCTAAGTAACCAGTTTGGAATATATTGATAACGAAAACGTGGGTTTTTAATTTCTCCTAAATTTATTTGACAACCATTTATATTCTCTCAGAGTTTGAGTCAAAACTATTCAGTCAATGTGTAAACCTGCGTAACTGAAGCTTAGTCCTTCACTGGTGTACGTATAAGAAAACTCAAAATGCATAGTAGTCCAGAGCGGGCTATGCGTAGCTGAAGCTTAGTCCTTCACTGGTGTACGTATAAGAAAACTAAAAATGCGTAGTAGTCTAGAGCGGGCTATGCGTAGCTGAAGCTTAGTCCTTCACTGGTGTACGTATAAGAAAACTCAAAATGCGTAATAGTCCAGAGCGGGCTATGCGTAGCTGAAGCTTAGTCCTTCACTGGTGTACGTATAAGAAAACTCAAAATGCGTAGTAGTCTAGAGCGGGCTATGCGTAACAGAGTACGTAATGAAAACATCCGCTGTATACCGACATGGCTCGGAGGATTAATAAGCTGAACTGCCAAGGGACCGGCCATATAGCTCTAAGAACCGATTACCGATGAGGAAGAAAATTATTGGCCATCGTAGTGTAGGACGACCCCCCATTAGATGAAATGAGGACCAGTGCAAGTGTGCGGTTAATCAATGGATACAGGTAGCTTAGGATCGCGCTTCGTGGCAGGCCTATGTTCAGCAGTGGATTCAACCAGGCTAAAATGATGCTGATGTATAATCTGTTAAATATTTATAACTTAACCGCGCGTTCGTCTTTACTTACATTGAAATTCACCTCAACTTCTGTTTATATATGTAAGAGTACACACAGATAGCATTATTGATTGAAAATATATTCAATTAAAATGGCTGTTTATCACAATGCTGAGATTACTGAAATCATTGTGAATTAACACATAAGAAGTTTTTTATTATCACCTTGTATAACCTTCTCAAGATTAACTCAAAAAATAAAAGGTAATCAATAAAAGTTTCAATATATGGACAAAACATTTTATTACAACAATAAAACATATTTTAAAAACAAATCGCCTTTAAATACACACGTGATACACACAGTTGGCGTTTGTATCAAACGAGACGTCACAGAGTAGTTACTGGTTGTTGCTAAACGAGCTAAGATCATTACAAAACGCGTTCGAGCAGGAACAGGATGAGACGAGCAAGTATTCGGTTAATGGGTTCCTGAAACCAATAATTTTAGTTATTTTATTAAGTTAATACATTTATCGTGTTTATTTAATAATTGGTGAAATAATAATAGAAAGCATTATAAGGAAATACAACGGAAATTTGAACTGTCTTTTATATAAGATTAGATTTAGTAGATCCATACCACGTAGCTGCTGAGAAGCTCGGGCAGAGTTCTCCCGAAGAAGTTGTTGACATATACTGACAAGTCGTAACCGAAGAGGTTCAAGTGAATAGAAGACTGAAAGAAAATGTATATATAAGTACCAAGTAATTACCAATTATCAACAGAATCAAATTGTTGCAAAGATTTGTTTAAGACTTGTACCTGAACGCCTTCAAGGCTCGAAGATAGGACAAGCTCGCTAACTGAAGTCCCAGAGTCATCAACTTTAACGGTGCTCTCACTACTAATGCGGAGACCAGAAATGGCTAGTCTGGAATGAAAAATCAATCATGAAACTCTTGTATTGGAGAACATTCTAAGCAAATTCTACAAACTGAATAGAATAGAATAGAATGTACTTTAATGCACACAAGGATATACATAGAAAGAAATATATATAAATAGAAATCGTATAAATCTAATCAAGTAAATGTAAAGTAGCCTATACACGTTCCACTGTTAGGCAAAAGCAGTCCATCATGCTGCTTCACTACGAATTGGTGCACTTCACATGTCTTCGAGATATTTTTTTTTTCATAAATCTAAAGCATGAATTAAAACTTTCTAAATGTTAATTGTAATAATTTAACCGTTTGTTTATTAGCTGTTTAATAATTAAATTAAACAGTTTCACTTACTCGCCGTCAGCTATACCACGAAGAGTGAAACCAAGGATCGTGACTTGTGCCTCCGCAGCGCCTGTTCAAAATAAAAAATAAATACTTAGTTTTTAATGTTAAAAGCTGAAAAAGAGAAGCACTGTCTTATATTCCCATTTTTTACCCAATCTAGCACGAACTTCGGGCAGGGAGAGATCAAGAGAAAGCTTGTTTGTCGTCTCCGAATAATCGATATTGTCAATAACGATATTGCTGGCACCGGTTACACTAATGTCTTTAACGAAGGCAGTGGCAGAGAAAATTCTGAAAAAAGAAAATTGTTACAATATCAGTCTTGTAATTTGTATACGACTATGATATTATAGATTTAATTTTAAAAATCTACCTAATAAACAATTATTAAGTTTAAAAGTGCAATAATGTCCAACATAAGTTGTTTCAATAATATTGTTACCCGGGAATAGGTAGCTCATAGTCGCCCTCCGCCAATTCAACGACAATTGGGTCGGTGATAAGTTCCTTTATCCTGTCAATAGCGTCTTGGATAACGGTAATCACGTTACTTCTCTCGTCCAAGTCTGCAAAGTAATTGGGAATTTCCTCCTTTACATAAATAAAATGTATTCACATAAACAATTTGACTTGTGGACTGAAGTAACTCACCATAAACTTGGGGCACAGCGCTGGCGCTAGCCAGAATCATCAAAACGGCAACCGCAATGGTCCTCATGGTTATTCACCTAAAGAATAGTTATTAACTAATTATAGAATTAACTACATCGATTATCTATATCGTTTAATAGAATAAACGGAAAAAATTAAAACTCTTGATTATCGAAATAACAAACATTTAGCTCACCTTTCTTTCCGTAAAGATAAGTAATGAAACACTGTAACGGCATTTATATACCAAAATTATGATAGATACGATTGAAATTGTGATAAACTAATCAATAATCGGGATTCATATATGTTATCTTGGCGACATTTTAATTGTAATTTGCTTAAGCCGTATTAATATGTAATAAACATGCATAGGGCGATGTATTTTTTTACATAATAGAAAAAACATCATGTGTCGTTTTTGTGACAAAGTTTAACAGCTTCAAAGCACATACAAATGAAATAAAGACAATTATTTTAATCATTGAAACGAGTACAGATATATATTATACGATGCTCTTGCGGCCTAGCTTTCTATACAAATTACTAAGGAGTAATTTGTTCCGAAACCCTTGCAGAACCGTGCATTTAATTACAATTTACGTTGAATATTGTTACGAGCTAGTGTTTCCATATTCGAGTGAAACGCTGGTCGCTTAAATCGATTAGGTCGTTTTATACTACAAACGTCTGCAGCGGCCCCCTAGGTACCGTTAAAATCCTCTCTCACTACTACAGGTGCGACAACTAACTAACATCATCTAATAACATCAACTAATTAACATCCGTTAAACGCACAGCTTTGTTTGTCGTATGTTTATTTTTGTAGTGGCTCGCCGTGTGCCTGAGCAAGAACTCGTGCAAGAACTCGTGCTTAATCTTGAAGCGGTTGAACCAAATCTCGTAATAATAACACGCCGATGTTTAGGCTAGGCGCCCCATGCGCCAGGCCACCTCAAAACCGTCGGATCTGTGAAGACCCCTAAGGCCAACAGTGGCTCATCCAGCAAAAAAAAACAAATCTTGCTGCAGTTAGACGTTACGAAGTAGTATCCCTACGTCAACAACATGGCGATCTCATGCAGCAATTTATCAGACACTTGGACATTTGGGCCCATTGTCTGTGGAACATTTCCACTGTCCTAGCGCTCAGCACGCTATTCCTGTACCTCTCGCCCGCCTTCTTCGGCATCACGTGCTTGTCGTAGTCCTTCCATATCTCTTTAACTACTTCGGACGTAAATTTATACAGATGGCAAATTTTACGAACGAATGCACACTAAATAATGCAGCTGAAAGAAAGAAAGTAACACGTTTATTCACGATCTAACCACAATAGATATATAACAAACTTAAAAAATAATGGGATTACAAAGGATATAAAATAATATTTCACAATTTGAAATACATGAAAACAACAAAACAAAAGGAAAATCTGTGCAAAAGCATACGAACGTGAAATGGTCGGAGTTTAGGTCCTCTCGCATCATATATCCCTGGAAGTCGCTAGTCAGGTGGCTGTTGCTGTTATCGTCGTCCAATTCAGCCTCAATTCAACGTTGCCGCACATTATGACCGATGTGTGGCTCACAGGAGAGGATTTAGATTCGGGCTTTGGCTCTAGCTCCTCTTCGATCTTTATGCTCGTCATGGTGCTGACATTATTCGAGAAACGTGACTCCCTAAGTTCGTAAGAATACAAATATCGCAGTTCCACGTTGTCTTCACCCTTTTTTACAGATACTACTTCTACTCGTAGAATCTCTTTATATCCGCCTGAATTAATAAATGTATAATTAATAAATGGATTATGGATCTGAAATCGACACCCTAACACTACGTAAATATATTACATGTTGTATCAAAATTAGTATAAAATATATACAACGGTCTTATCGCCCCGGAAGAAATTTCTTCTAGACAATCTTTGTAATTGGAATAATTTTAATGAAAAAATAAAGAAGAGAGCAGAGGCAGGTGCACTAAATATTATGCCCAGTATGAAGCATTCATAGATAAACACAATAAAGGAAGCAGGCATTCAGAGTTCCAAGTAATGAGCTTTTACAAAAAAAAATGAAAAGAAGAGACTTAGCTCGTCGAAAGTAGGTGCGTAGGTGAACAAACCGTGAAAGATTTCTTGAAGAAAGAGGAGGAATTAGCAGGAGTTTTGAGGGAGAGGTTTACAGAACGAAGGAACCTTTCACGGGAGGGGGACAATAAGCCGTCTTTAAAGTTTATGAGTGGAGGAATTTGATCAATTCCAAACAATTCCGCACACTAAATTATGTTTAGCATTGGGTTCCGTTTACTTTCCATGTGGCATATTAATTTCATTTATATTGGACCTCGGACTTCGGAGATAAATCGAGAAACTCCTCAAAATCAAGTACAAAATGTATACTGAGATATTGGAAGTCGGTTTTTCTTTTTGTTAATAAAAATGATACAATTGTTGATGATGTCACCTCTTCTATTCATATAATATTTACGATACGGCTAAGGTGAATTAAATAACGCCATAATTATACAAAGCCCCGTATTTGTGTGTAACATCCTCATTCAGTTTTAGTGAAATTCAAAGTTAAAACAGTTGTTATCCTCTAATGTATTCTATTATCTACAGAATTTTTAGTTTTAATTTTATATATATATATATATATATATATATATATATATATATATATATATATAAATTAAATTGAACTCTTTCTTAACAGCTAGACTCATTTCAATGAAATTTTTTGTGTGTCTTCCGGTCGATTTGAGATTAGTTTAGATTCACAATTTGGCCCACTACATTTTTTTTTATTTCTATGTTGTCGAATTAAAGTCGTGTGTTCCGGACGTCTGTCCGGTCTGCTAATTTATTATATAATAATCTAGTGCATTCCTAATCTCTGCTAAAAATATTCTCGTGTGATTAGAAATCGTCAAGGACGATGGCTAAAAATGATTTTATCAAAGCACTATCGGACATTGTACCAAGAATAGCAACCATTCTTAAGGCTGTAACTTCCGACCTATCGAATACTTAACGGCATTCATGGTCATGGCATAAACCAAGGTAGGTTTTTAAAACTAGTATTATTAAAACATTTAATATACTTTTAAAAAGGGAAATTATGACATTGTTTTGATCTTTAGTTAACAATAAATATATAACTGACTTCTGAATAATTCACACAAATGTTATTTTACATTTTTCACGTATACAAATTCCATATTCACGGAACAGACATCCAAATGTTACAGTTAAACTATCTAATGGCTAACGTTAACGTTTTAATAACTAATTCTTTCCGATTAACGCAGTAGGAGCTTACAGTATTAGTAAAAAAGACCATCTTTTCTGGAACGGATTACGATTACATATACAATTAAAATTTTAACAAAACTTAAAAACGATGATAGAGATGTGAACTTTTCATATTTCTTGTTTATCTATTCAAACACAATTAATACATTACATATATTAAGCATTTATATACACAAATATATATAAAATTAATAAATTAAAGGAAAATACATATAAAATAGACTAAAAGTTTGGCCCCATCTATTTAGCGGCCCAAATGATGAAATTTGAACTACAAAGAAGTGGTCCCTTTGGTCATGAAATGGTCATAAATGGACAGTGATTTCCAACAATAAAGGAAAACCTCGTGAGGAAACTTGCATATATTCGAAATAATAACAAAATAATATATATTTCGAAGATATGCGAAAGGGCTGTATAGCCTGTTACTTTACTTTTTTTACTTTAACTATATTTAAAAAAAAATCTGTGTTAACTTTTACTGATTAGCGCCCCAAACTAATAATATTGCAATATCAAGCAAAGATCCTAAAAAGTTAAAAAATTTATAGAACTCAATATCATCTTAGCACCTCCATTTGCTCGGGTGAACTGCTTTCAAAGACAATCATTTCATCGTAGCCCCGCCTGCGATATGAACATACCTTACAATCGTGACGTATTTTTTGCTGTCATTATCTAGTCCCTCTGACCATAAATAATTTCGAGCTATTTGTTTCACTTTTACTACGCCGATATGACCTATATGCAATTCACGTAGTAGCAGTTCATTCTACGGGTTTTAGGTATAACACCATAGCCCCAAACTATACAAACGTGTTACAAAAATGTTATTCTTTTTATATATAAAAAATACTCGCTCGCTTCTAGTGTATTCCATATGATCGGCCAGCCAATTTTTACATATCCAGCTAGCTTTGTCAATTGACAATCTTTAATAATTTCCGCATGTACTGGCTTATGGCTGGTTGTGTTTTTACATAAGGCGATTAACACACGGCACCGCGCACCGCCGCGGAGGGCGGTGAAGCGGACTTCGTAGCGGTGCCCCAAGCGGTAAGGCGGTTTACGCGCCTGTACGCACGGATGGATTTAACGCGGTTTTGACCTGTTTGATCACAGACACTCGTAATAATGGATTCTGAAGTGGTGGCAGCAATCTGGCTTTAATGCGTTGAAAGAAAAAAAAGAAGATATAGGGGTTCATCCATTTTTACGAAGCAAAACTCTAAATGGGGTATGTCCATTTATGTTCGCGGATATGCAGCGGGCCGTGTTTGAGGCGCCGCACGCGCCGCTGAGGTCCGCGCGGAGGGGCGGTGGTCGGTCGGTGTACGTGTATTAAGCCTCAACGGATTTATTAGACCCCAATACGACATGAGATCCGCTTCACCGCCTACCGCGGTGCCGTGTGTTAAGCGCCTAATACTGTTAGTAAAGAAACAAAAAGTAACACAACTTGGATATGTCTTACTGCCGGGTAAAGGCCTTCTCTGCACAAAGCATAGAACTCGCAGAGAGCATCTCGGTATCCCACCCAACGCACCTCGTGAATCCAGACGATATGACGGATTTCACGTGGATATAAATTTAGTTTTTTTATCATATTTTGTAAATGTACTTGTTTCCTCACGATGAGTTCCTTCGCCAGCACGTGATAAGTCGGCACTATTAATAATTTCATTGTTGCCGACATCAGGAACTGAACTTGGGTTGTTCGAGTACTGACCTATCACGGCTTTTGATAA